TACTACTAATAATAATGATAATAATCCATATCAATATTGTTCCATATCCACACCCTAAAGCATGCTCATGGTGCTACAAGTTATTACAAGTTCATCAAAAGTCAGAATACACTCAAACTGCATTCTCAACTTCCTGGGGAGTATTAAAAAATATCACGATACGAATCTGTGTAACTGGATTTAGAAAATGAAATTAGGTCGTTAAAATTGAAAAATTTAATTTGGTCTATTATCAGTCACAATAACTAATATACATTCCAAAAAAGATAAAATATCAAATAATTAAAATTACAAAAGGTATATAATTCTCATTTTGGTATAAATAATCAGTTACGGAATTGATACCATAAAGTAACCGACATTATGCAGCCAATAGTGACACCTTATCTTCAGCATCTTGTTTTACCTACATTCCTATGACCAATTACTTGGAGTCTGTTGCTCAATGGGCAGATAGGCTGGCAGACAGCCAGGCTACACACAATCACCTGTTGGAAATTGATGTTGCTTTCTTGCTAAACAATACTAAGCACATCTGGAGATACGGTGAGATCATCTACTGTAGATCATGCAATAAACGCACCTACATAGACATTGATGCATTGGGTAAGTTGCACTAACTCCATGAGAACCACCGGCCTGGGTGTTTTCCAGCCTGTCAAAGCAATAGTTATCAGATCCAATATAATTTATTTTACCGACAAGTTTTAACATCACACTGTAAAAGAATTAAAAAAAATCAAAATTGATAGAAAACAGTTGTTGGATTGAGCTGAAGTTAGCTTGAGCTATGTCACGGAAAAAGCGTGCAGCTTTTTGCTTTGAAGCGGGTTATAAGGGATTTAATCTGCCTCTGAGAAATCCATGTGCAGCCTGATTTGTGCTTGGCGGGTTATAAGAGATTTATTCCCCCGCTGAGAAATTTATTCCTCTCCAAGGCGGGGTACACAGTATTTTATCAAGATCATGTTTTATCCCACTAATGCCAAGCGCCAGGCAGGGTAACAACAAGTACCATCTTTAAACATCTTTTAGTATGACGCAGCCGGTGATCGAGCCACAACCTATTGTTTTCTAGGTAGATGCTCCAGCCACTACATGGAGGATGGGGCTGGGACGGGGAACTCGGGTTGGGTGGTTCCTAAGTAGGACCCAGGTACCCACGGGACTACCCGGACCCGTGGTTAGTCACGTGATATATTGTTAATGACAACAACTCACTGTAGCTCAGTGGTTACACTTCAAGTTGGTAAACTTTCTGACAATGAACACATTCTTTTTTACTTGTATATGTGTGAGCAGAGATAAAGCTTCAGTCAACTTCGGGGTGGTCAGGTAGCCTAGTCGTCAAGCCGAAGACCCGGGTTCGATTCCCGACATGGGTACAATGTGTGAAGCCCATTTCTGGTGCCCCCTGTCGTGATATTGCTGGAATATTGCTAAAAGCGGCGTAAAACAATACTCACTCACTCAGTCAACTTCCATGATATGATCGTTTGATACACGAATCTAAACAGTTTTTGCCAGGGCTGCGGTAAAACAATTCCCAACTCTTGAGACCTGCAGCGGGTACCCGGGTACGGTCGGGTTATTGGGGGGTCGGGTACTGGGTAATAAATTTGGACTCGTCCCAGCCCTGATGGAGGAGGCAGGTCAATTTCACAAAGAATTGTCAACCCTACATGGAAACTTCACTGAAGTCACTAGAGTTTAGATGACAAATTGTTATCAATCTGTGACATCATCTTCTGGGCAGTATTCGAAATAACAGCCTGCCCGTAGGACAGTGGCAGGTAGATCTTGCGTCAGGCCGTAGTTTCAAACTTCCGATGGCCCTTATGGCCTGCAGTAAATTTAGGTATCGATTTATCACAATAAGCTGCAGGTTATTAAATGAGGGCCTGAAGAGTTTAGTCAGCTTCTAACGTCTGTGGGTCCTGATGTTAGCCTGGCAAATGTTTTGGTTCCAAACACTGCTTTATGGGTGTGCTGCTGTCGGATGATGGCTGTAGGTTGTTTATTGTGGGATATACGGTACAACAGGATGGTTCTTATTACAGGTACAGGACATCCTGTTTCATGAGATTAACCCATTAACCACCTACAGATGAATGAGATTGGTTGGAACTCTACAAAACCTTGGTTACGATTTACTTAAATTCACTGCAAGTATGACCATCCATATAATTCAGAATTTAAAATCTGAAAATCATCTGAAATGTGAATTGAGATATTCACACAAAAATTATAAATTGCTTTTTTCTGAAAGACACACTTGGTGTTCCTAGTGTTAAGGTATGCATGACGTATGCTGATCGTGTCTGATACAAACAGCTGACAGCCCCGTACGTTCTTTAGTCTCTGGTAGTTTAACAGGAGGTGGGGTTTATTTGTTCACCGTGCTATACATTTGTAGAGTTTGGTACAAATTGTCTCTCTGATTTCACTTCTGACAAGGTAAGAATGTATGAATTTATCCATATACATGTATATATATACCACCTTGCATTTTGGTTTTCACTGATTTTTTAATTCCTACATGTTCAACCATTGCACAATAATCTAATCAGATGGTGTTTATTCGTTTTCATTTAAAGAACAAAACCTCCCATTTAATAAAATTTGAAAAATGTACGGATACAAAAGAAATCACTTTAACATTCTTTTCTTAAATGTCTAAACATTGTAAAGTATTTTTTCTGATAGCATGCTTAGGGTATTATTTTTTTGTACAAAATTTCTACTTTATACAAATTTAAAACACAACTGATGATTTTTGTTTCAAGAACATGCAGAATTTTAAGAAGGGAATTGACATTCTCTAGCACACACAAAAAAAACCCACCTCATTTTTTAAAGACAAAGTTGACCTTTACTTCCTTGTCTCAGTTTTTTTCTTCAAGATAACAAATTGATCATCTTCAGCTGATTTTATACAAAGCATGAGTGAATTTCCTGATATTGGCGTCTTTCAAAATGTCAGCAGATCTGGCACACAGACTCGGAACGTGGTTTCTCCATGATCCTCGAGAAGGAGTTGTGTGCACTGTATGCCAGAGGAAGTTTTTGTCCCGGTGGCTAATATGGATCCCCATCATTATCGTTCCTGTCTGTTGATAAAGCAATCTCTGACCTTTTTAAAAGTTTCTGAGTAAACCACCCCTTGACCTCTTTGGAAAGTATGCTTCGCGGTTTCATATTCAGCCAGCATTGTGTTCCGGGAATCGTTTACAATTTTCATTTGTTCAGTGAAATCAGGTCCTCTATGGAACTATGTGTAATTACTCCAGTTTGTGGACACTGATGGATACGTGTAAGGTGAGCCATATGTGGGGCTTGTTTAGCTTGTCTGAAGCAACAAGGGATTATGATGATATCGTGGCCATAAAATGTCTGTGTCCCGTGATGGGATTCGAACCACGGACCTTCTGATCACAGGTCGGACGCCTTGTCCACATGACCAAAGAGGTTAACCCCGTCAGGAAGCTGACAAGGTAAGGATGTCATCTGTGGGATGACTCCACACCCTGCTACACTGACACCTTTGGAAAAAATAGGGCCAAGCAGTACTACCGTATTCGACGTAATAAGCGCCCCGCTCTAATAAGCGCCCACGGCGATATTTGCTAATATATTGGCTAGTGAACAAACCCAATTGGCACCCCTGCCGATTGATCAATGTACACAAGACTTATTTATTCGTGTAAAATACGCACTCGTGTGTTATATGCACCCTTAATTATGGGCAAATAAATTCTGGAAAAGTATATCTGTCGCATATAAACATTTCAGGCTGTCAGCATAAACCACGAAATATATCTTTTAACTCTGTATTTTTTCACTAAAATAATATTCTAATAAGAGCCCCCTATTTCTAATTTTGAGAGCGCCCTGGGCGCTTATTACGTCGAATATGGTATTAAAAAAGGTTAAGGATGACCCGATTCTTTCATATCACTGTAGTTAACCTGGGCAATGCCATTTGAGTGGTACATACCGGCTAAGATATTTGTTTGAGACAGAATGTTCACTCAGCAATTTAAACGTACCATTTGTTTTTTACCCACAATAATTTTTTTTTCAGAACATCCAAAAATATTTTGGTAGCAGGACAATTTATTTTTCCAGCATTTTGGGGAACGGATCACATTTCCAAAAGAAGGCCAGGCCTATACGAAATAATATGGTTGGCCTCTTATAGTTTTCTTTTAGAGTCGAGTTGATAAAGTACCCAGTAGATTAGAAAGATTATTCATTTGGGTGGACATTGCAGAGGTATGCTGCCATGGGGGTTCCTTCAGAGCAGACAGTCTGGCAAGCAGCGCTAGTATAGAATCCTAAAGATGACAGGAACTGTTATTGTGCTAAGGGTTGATAATCGTCTGACATTGACATGATCAATTTAAGATTGACCCATTGAATTCAGTTATTAAATATTTCCTGTTGATTTGTTAGTAAAAGTTCATGTTAATAACTGATTTAACAGCTTATGTTAATAACTGACTTCATTGTTCATGTTTACATCTGGCCCGTGAAGATTCCGGGGTAGAATAGGTCTTCAGCAACCCATGCTTGCCGTAAAAGGCGACTATGCTTGTCGTAAAAGGCGACTAACGGGATCGGGTGGTCAGGCTCGCTGACTTGGTTGATGCATGTCATCGATCCCAATTGCGTGGATCGATGCTCATGATATTAATCACTGGATTGTCTGGTCCAGACTCGATTATTTACAGACTGCCGTCATATAGCTGGAATATTGCTGAGTGCGGTGTTAAACAACAAACCAACAACAACAACAACATGTTTACATCTGATTTAGAGATCATGTTGAAGTTAATACAATTCATCTAACAGATAATTAAGCCAATTTAGAGTTCCTGTTTTACACCTGATTTTAGGAGTACAAATTTACAATTAATTGCTTTTGAGAAATCATGTTTACGTATGAGTCCATGTCAACAATTGATTCAAATGTGTGTGTTCACGCTTGTCTACTTCAGGATATGATTCAACCAGCTCTGGCCGCTCTGGTAACTTGTCTCCACAGTCAGCGAAACACAAAAAATGGCGGTATACCCCGCAGACGAAAGGAGTGGGTCCCGATGGTCGTCCGTCGGATTCAGCCCAGAAAGGGGACCAAGTCCAAGAGCCAATGATACCACCTGACCTAACCATGGATGATCTCTGCCTAACAACTGATTGTGTAAAAGCATGTAAGTTTGGTTCTAACATGAGTGAGTGAGTGAGTGAGTGAGTGAGTGAGTGGGTGGGTGGGTGGGTGGGTGAGTGAGTGAGTGAGTGAGTGAGTGAGTGAGTGAGTGAGTGAGTGAGTGAGTGGGTGGGTGGGTGGGTGGGTGGGTGGGTGAGTGAGTGAGTGAGTGAGTGAGTGAGTGAGTGAGTGAGTGGGTGGGTGGGTGGGTGGGTGGGTGGGTGAGTGAGTGAGTGAGTGAGTGAGTGAGTGAGTGAGTGAGTGAGTGGGTGGGTGGGTGAGTGAGTGAGTGAGTGAGTGGGTGGGTGGGTGGGTGGGTGAGTGAGTGAGTGAGTGAGTGAGTGAGTGAGTGAGTGAGTGAGTGGGTGGGTGGGTGGGTGGGTGGGTGGGTGGGTGGGTGGGTGAGTGAGTGAGTGAGTGAGTGAGTGAGTGAGTGAGTACGTGGGTGGGTGAGTGAGTGAGTGAGTGGGGGAGTGGGTGGGTGGGTTGGGGAGTGAGTGAGTGAGTGAGTGAGTGAGTGAGTGGGTGGGTGGGCGGGTGAGTGAGTGAGTGAGTGGGTGGGTGGGTGGGTGAGTGAGTGAGTGAGTGAGTGGGTGGGTGGGTGGGTGAGTGAGTGAGTGAGTGAGTGAGTGAGTGAGTGAGTGAGTGGGTGGGTGGGTGGGCGGGTGAGTGAGTGAGTGAGTGGGTGGGTGGGTGGGTGGGTGAGTGAGTGAGTGAGTGAGTGAGTGAGTGAGTGAGTGAGTGAGTGACGGAGTACGTGGGTGGGTGAGTGAGTGAGTGAGTGGGGGAGTGGGTGGGTGGGTTGGTGAGTGAGTGAGTGAGTGAGTGAGTGAGTGGGTGGGTGGGTGGGTGGGTGAGTGAGTGAGTGAGTGAGTGAGTGAGTGAGTGAGTACGTGGGTGGGTGGGTGGGGTTGTGAGTGAGTGAGTGAGTGAGCAAGCGAGCGAGTGGTATTCTACCCCGGATCTTCACGGGTCTTGAAATTAGTAGTTGGGATTAATCAATATATATGTTGTTTTTTTTATCTTTTAAATTTTGATAATGTAACAATTCCAGTGTTTCTGTTTCCATATGGGTCTCACCTTCTTTGCCCATCTCAACCTTTGTCAAAACTATGCTGACACTTTGAAAATGCATATTCAAATCTTTGTAATACATGGGTGGATCCAGAGGGAGGGTCCCCCTCCTTTTTGAAAACCAAATTAAATTTAAGTTTTTCTGGGCATTTAGGCATGAGATCATCAAACACAACAATGTTGCCTTACGAGTCAGTATGTCTCAAAATCGTTTTCTTGGGTGTTTCTGTTCATATCACATGGGAATGAGGCACGTTATTCCCCGTTAAATAAACAACAAGTCAAAAATATCATGTCGGACATTTTAATTAAACTAAAGACAGAAACACAAACCTTCCTTGCCACACCAACCAAATCGCCCCAAAATGAAATGTTTCTATATATTCATCGAAAGTGAATAATTGACCACTTTCTGTTATGAAGTGGATAATGGAAGTTAATTCTAGTATTAGCAATGGCAATCTCCTGACTGGAGCTCTGAGGACGTCTTCGTCCCACAACCAATAAATGTCAACCCTCACATGTCACCCCGTTCAACGTCGTGGTCCGTCACATCAGCATGACACGCACAAGATTTACCAAAAAAAGGACATGCACAACGGGTGTGTTTGGGCGAGCACTTCCATATTAATCAAGTGTATTGGACGAGCTATACCAACCCAACCAAGAACAACTGTTTCCTTCTGTTCATCACATTTGTATCATTTCAGCTTCGCGATTGATTAATGCGATGGATGCTTCCGCTGACCCGTGTGAAGACTTTTTTCAATATGCTTGTGGCAACTGGAACAACATTAACGTCATACCAGATGATCGAGCAACTTTTAATACCTTTTCAAAACTCAGAGACGAAATCCAAGTGATGCTGAAAGGTATTTGACATTTCTGCAATGTTATTATTAGTTGTAGGCAGATAGCAGGTTCTATTATTCATCATTATTCATCATCGTTTACCACAGCACAATGAATTAGTCACATAAAATTAACTGACACAAGTTTTCATTCTGATGTGCATGTTATGTCCAGATGTTGATTCAGCAGACAGTTTATAACGAACATGCTCATAATGAACATCCAGATATAACATACAGATATAACATACAGATATAACATGCAGATATAACATGCAGATATAACATACAACATGCAGATATAACATGCAGATATAACATACAGATATAACATCCATATATAACATCCAGATATAACATGCAGATATAACATCCAGATATAACATCCAGATATAACATACATATATAACATCCATATATAACATCCAGATATAACATATAGATATAACATACAGATATAACAAAATGTTTTTTCATCAAGGCCATTTGCTGTATATATGCTTACAATAAACTACGGTTATAACAAACTCAAATTAATGGCCCTACAGTTTACTGTAGATACAAATGGAGATATTTTACTGCCTCTTCTACTAATTCTATACGAATTCTACATGTTGAAGTGAGTGAGTATGGTTTTGCGCCGCTTTTAGCAATATTCCAACAATATCCCAGCGGGGGACACCAGAAATGGGCTCCACACATTGTACATGGGGAATGGAACCCGGGTCTTTAGCAAGACGAGCGAACGCTTTAACCCCACCGTCCCTCTTCAGTGTCTGGTGCTTTCATAACATTCCTCTTTAAATAAATATAAAAGACAACAGCTAGGAGATAAACATGTGTTGTATCAGGACATTTCATATGGAACTGATGATGTAAGCTGTTTTCAGGTTTCCAGGAACCAGTCCCATTTCATGTTTATCAACTGATCAGATTATAGAACCCGATCCCCTTCATATTACAATAAACCCATGAAGATCCAAGTTAGAATAGGTCTTCAGCAAACCCATACTTGCTGTAAGAGGCAACTATACATGTCGACTAAGGGGATCGAGGGGTCAGACTCACTGATTTGGTTGATGCATGTCATCGTCTTCATATTACAATAAACCCATGAAGATCCAAGTTAGAATAGGTCTTCAGCAAACCCATACTTGCTGTAAGAGGCGACTATACATGTCGATCGGGATCGGGTGGTCAGACTCACTGACTTGGTTGATGCATGTCATCGTCTTCCGATTGTGTGGATCAATGCTCATGATATCAATCACTGGATTGTCTGGTCAAGACTCGATTATTTACAGACTGCAATCATATAGCTGGAATATTGCTTAGTGAAGCATTAACCAAAAAAAAACAAAAAAACATATTACAACAAAACATACAACTCATTGAAGAAAAGAAAATCCATTCTATCAAAAAAATACCAAAATGGTTATGTTGCACAAATACTATTTCATCATTAGGGTTGGCAACTACCACTGATGTACTGATGTATTGATGTATCAGCGCAAAGTTGGAATCATGTATTAATGTTATCTGTTGCTGTGACAACCATTCTGCTAAAATGGCGATCATGTTTTATCACTATGGCGATCAGGTTCAGTTACAATGGTGACTATATTCTGTAACTATAGTGATCATGTTCTGTAACTATGGTGATCAGGTTCTGTTGCCATGGTGATCATATTCTGTTACTATGGTGACTATGTTGTAGGTTTGCTGGAGGAACCAGTGACAGACAAGGACAGCGCTGCAACAAGGAAAGCCAAGTATCTTTACGACTCCTGTGTCAATGAAAGTAGGTGCCTTTAATTGTCTTCATGCATCTCCAATGAATATCATGAGAAACATCTTAGTATCGTGCCATAAATTGGATGCCACAATGTATACAGGCCATGTGCATATAAGGTCAGATTCCTACTCTCGCCATGCTGGGATAGAATCGGTCACCATCAGTCCATGATCGTCCTATGAGGCTCACGGGGCTTGAACGACGTCATCGTATCCAGACAGCACTTGACTTACATCTATCACTGCCTGGCCCAGAGTTGATTATTTACAGGCTGCCGTCATGAATATTGCATGATTTAACCTCAGGGAAACCATTTCCTACTTAGGAACTACTATCATTACACTCCCAACAATATCCTTCGTTGCATAACAAACTTGTATCTTATGTATGATATACCAATATCATAACATCCAACAATTCAGTGTATACCAACTTTACTTTCCATCCACAAGAGGTTTCTCCGGAGTCCCTTTAAATGGAGATTGGCAGTCCCAACAAATTTACTTGAAGTCATCAACTACCCACTTTGTTTGTAAACTTAAGTCAGTGATTGTCCTAATTACATGCAGATAATCAGGTTTGGGGCCAGTGAAGCTGAGAGATTAGTGCCCCTTTAACCGTGTTTTTGCTCAGATATTCAGGTTTGGGCCAAGTGAAGCTGAGAGATTAGTGCCCCTTTAACAGTGTTTTTGCTCAGATATTCAGGTTTGGGCCAAGTGAAGCTGAGAGATTAGTGCAGCTTTAACTGTGTTTCAGCTCAGATAGATGTTCAGGGTTTGGCCTGGTGAAGCTGAGATAGTAATCCCCTTGAACTGTGTATCAGCTAAGATAATCAGGTTTGGGCCCAGTGAAGCCAAGAGAATAGTCTCCCTTTAACTGTGTTTCAGCTCAGATAGATGTTCAGGGTTGGGCCCAGTGAAGCCAAGAGAGTAATCCCCTTGAACTGTGTATCAGCTAAGATAATCAGGTTTGGGCCCAGTGAAGCCAAGAGAATAGTCTCCCTTTAACTGTGTTTCAGCTCAGATACATATTCAGGGTTGGGCCCAGTGAAGTTGAGAGAGTAATCCCCTTTAACTGTGTATCAGCTAAGATAATCAGGTTTGGGCCCAGTGAAGCTGAGAAAGTAATCCCCTTTAACTGTGTATCAGCTAAGATAATCAGGTTTGGGCCCAGTGAAGCTGAGATAGTAATCCCCTTTAACTGTGTATCAGCTAAGATAATCAGGTTTGGGCCCAGTGAAGCTGAGATAGTAATCCCCTTTAACTGTGTATCAGCCAAGATAATCAGGTTTGGGCCCAGTGAAGCTGAGATAGTAATCCCCTTTAACTGTGTATCAGCCAAGATAATCAGGTTTGGGCCCAGTGAAACCAAGAGAATAGTCTCCCTTTAACTGTGTTTCAGCTCAGATAGATATTCAGGGTTTGGGCCCGGTGAAGCCAAGAGGGTAGTCTCCCTTTAACTGTGTGTACCAGCTCAGATAGATATTCAGGGTTTGGGTCACGTGAAGCCAAGAGAATAGTCCCCCTCTAACTGTGTTTCAGCTCAGATAGATATTCAGGGTTGCGCCCGGTGAAGCCAAGAGAGTAGTCCCCCTTTAACTGTGATTCAGCTCAGATAGATATTCAGGGTTGGGCCCGTTGAAGCCAAGAGAGTAGTCCCCCTTTAACTGTGTTTCAGCTCAGATAGATATTCAGGGTTTGGGCCCGGTGAAGCCAAGAGAATAGTCCCCCTCTAACTGTGTTTCAGCTCAGATAGATATTCAGGGTTTGGGCCCAGTGAAGCCAAGAGAGTAGTCCCCCTTTAACTGTGTTTCAGCTCAGATAGATGTTCAGGGTTTGGGCCTAATGAAGCCAAGAGAGTAGTCCCCCTTTAACTGTGTTTCAGCTCAGATAGATATTCAGGGTTTGGGCCCGGTGAAGCCAAGAGAGTAGTCCTCCTTTAACTGTGTTTCAGCTCAGATAGATATTCAGGGTTTGGGCCCGGTGAAGCCAAGAGAGTAGTCCCCCTCTAACTGTGTTTCAGCTCAGATAGATGTTCAGGTTTGGGCCTAATGAAGCCAAGAGAGTAGTCCCCCTTTAACTGTGTTTCAGCTCAGATAGATATTCAGGGTTTGGGCCTAATGAAGCCAAGAGAGTAGTCCCCCTTTAACTGTGTTTCAGCTCAGATAGATATTCAGGGTTTGGGCCCGGTGAAGCCAAGAGAGTAGTCCCCCTTTAACTGTGTTTCAGCTCAGATAGATATTCAGGGTTTGGGCCTAATGAAGCCAAGAGAGTAGTCCCCCTTTAACTGTGTTTCAGCTCAGATAGATATTCAGGGTTTGGGCCTAATGAAGCCAAGAGAGTAGTCCCTCTTTAACTGTGTTTCAGCTCAGATAGATATTCAGGGTTTGGGCCCGGTGAAGCCAAGAGAGTAGTCCTCCTTTAACTGTGTTTCAGCTCAGATAGATATTCAGGGTTTGGGCCTAATGAAGCCAAGAGAGTAGTCCCCCTCTAACTGTGTTTCAGCTCAGATAGATGTTCAGGTTTGGGCCTAATGAAGCCAAGAGAGTAGTCTCCCTTTAACTGTGTTTCAGCTCAGATAGATATTCAGGGTTTGGGCCCGGTGAAGCCAAGAGAGTAGTCTCCCTTTAACTGTGTTTCAGCTCAGATAGATATTCAGGGTTTGGGCCCGGTGAAGCCAAGAGAGTAGTCCCCCTTTAACTGTGTTTCAGCTCAGATAGATATTCAGGGTTTGGGCCCGGTGAAGCAGCTGCTGGAGGAACTAGGAGGGTGGCCCGTGGTGCTGGACTCGGAGTGGAAGGAGGAGGACCATGACATGCTGGACCTGATCCTCAAACTCCGTCTCTACAACAACAAGGTCCTCATAGACCAGTGGATCAGTGCTGATGACAAAAACTCTAAAGTCAATATCATACAGGTGAGATTATAGTGTGGGATTATAGTGTGGGATTTGTGTGGGTGTGTGATTGAGTGAGTGAGTGAGTGAGTGAGTGAGTGAGTGAGTGAGTGAGTGAGTGAGTGAGTGAGTGAGTGAGTGAGTGAGTGAGTGGGTGGGTGGGTGGGTGGGTGGGTGAGTGAGTGAGTGAGTGAGTGGGTGGGTGGGTGAGTGAGTGGGTGAGTGAGTGGATGAGTGAGTGAGTGGGAGATTGGGTGAGTGAGTGAGTGGGTGAGTGAATGAGTGGGTGAGTGGATGAGTGAGTTGGTGAGTGAGTGAGTGGATGAGGGAGTGAGTGGGAGATTGGGTGAGTGAGTGAGTGGGTGAGTGAATGAGTGGGTGAGTGGATGAGTGAGTTGGTGAGTGAGTGAGTGGATGAGGGAGTGAGTGGATGAGTGAGTGTATGCGTGGATGAGTGAGTGAGTGGGAGATTGGGTGAGTGAGTGAGTGGGTGAGTGAATGAGTAGGTGAGTGGATGAGTGAGTGGATGAGTGGGTGAGTGGATGAGTGGGTGAGTGGATGGGTAAATGTTTGGGTGACTGGTCAGGTTTAGCTCTTATGTAGTGTTCTGTGATGTTTGTATGTTCGGTATGACATGCCCATGTGCAGATTTAGGGTAAACAAACTTTGCTGGTCGCACCCGTACATGAGAATGCCACAGCCTTGTGGCAAAGTTGGGGTAAAGCTGTGGTAGATGTGGTAAAAGTGAGGTTTTGGGTAATACCAGACTTTTACCGCATCAAGCCATATCTGCCTTTGGGGTAAATGTGCGGCTTTTTTCACCCAGACTATTTCTCGTGCGGTTATATACTCTGAATTTGACTTCATCTAGAAACCCTTCAGATTTTGTTATAAGTCCAGATTACCACAGTATGGCATTTGTGCATCCACATTGACTTAGAATATTTTTCACTATAAACCTAAATTTTTATTAGATGCAAATACTTACTGCAAAGTCAAGAAGTCACTTCAAACAGAATAATTTCAAGATATTTCAAGCTTTTTGATTGGACCTGAATACAGATTTGATTTGACACCGCTTTTAGCAATATTCCAGCAATACCACAGAAATGGGCTTCACACATTGTACCCACGTGGGGAATCGAACCTGGGTCTTCAGCGTGAAGAGCGAACGCTTTAACCACTAGACTACCCAACCGCCCCACAGGCATATGATTACAAAGTGAATGAAGGAGACCTCTTGTTAAAGGCTCCTTAACATTTTTAGTGAGTGAGTGAGTGAGTTGGGTTTCACCCTGCTTTTAACAGTATTCCAGTTATATCACGGCGTGTCAGCTTAATGTGGGAGGAACATTTTTAGTGAGGTTTATCGATGAAAGGAAAGAACTTACATTTTAAAATGTTTGTTTTTTTATTGGATACAAGAACAAAGTCAATATTTATATTTATAGACTTATAGTGAATAAAGAATAGTCAAAAGTTATAGTCGAAGATAAAACTTTTAAGTTTAAATATCTGCAGTAAAACTGTGGTTACTGTAAGTGTTGCAGTATTCTTTCATCGGGGTAAGATGCCAAATAATAAATGGGGGGTCAGGCACAGACACCCAAACATCATGGATTGTTGCTCATATCAATAATCAATCACTGGATTGTCTTGCCCAGAATGGATTATTCACAGGGCTCCATCATTCAGATGGAATATTGCTGAGTGTGGCATCAAACAAACAAATGAAAGGGAACGGGAATGAAGTCAAAACAAAATATTTTATGAGTGCTTCAAACAATTGTTTCATTTTTTGGATTGTTTTACAGCATAAATATGGAGACATAATTAAGTTAAAATTTAAAGTCACACTGGCAACATTTCAGCCTTATTGTGAGGTGAGGTGAAATGGGGTTTAACGTCGCGTCCAAGATTATTGCACTTATATAGCGACGTGCATGCACGTTTGTGTGTGTGTGTGGCTGCTTGTACTAGTCCGGACTGATGCCGATTTATAGTGCTAGCACACTGAGATACCATGCCGCTTTTTAACATGAATACCCCACTCAGACACAGTATACTGACTCCGAGCCGACCAGTCCTTGTTTTAGCCCCTTAATACTGAGCGCCAGACAGGGTAACAACAAGTACCATCTTTTAACGTCTTTTGGTATGACGTGGCTGGGTATCGAATCCCGGGCGTCCGCTCTCTGGGCGGACGCTCTACCATTAGACCACGGAGGCGGTCGCCTTATTGTGACTTTAACAAGTTATACAACGTTGCTTTATAACTTAAAGACCTCATTTTGATGACAAATGTAGGATCATGGTTTCTTTTAAAGACCTCATTCATTTGAGGGGCGGTCGGGTAGCCTTGTGTTTAAAGCGTTTTCTCATCACGCCGAACACCCGGGTTTGCTTCCCGACATGGGTAAAATGTCTGAAGCCCATTTCTGGTATCCCCCGCCGTGATATTGCTGGAATATTGCTAAAAGCGGTGTAAACCCACACTCACTCACTCATTCACTAGAGAGACATCTTCTGTTTACATCAACAGAGTCATGGAATGAATTCTCCCAATCCAAACTCATGTGGTATATGCTCATCCCCGCCTCCTGTTTCAGCTGGACCAGCCGGACCTTGGCATGCCGTCTCGGGACTACTACTTGAAAGGCCGGGACGACTCTTCCGTGTTGGCGTACGAGAAGTATGCCCGAGATGTGGCCATCATGTTTGGAGCTAACGAGACAATCGCTGAGAGTGATATCTCCAAAATCATAGACTTTGAAACAGAACTAGCTAATGTAAGTGCACAGAATTTTTTTAAGTTCTGGGTTGTTTTTTTCACATTTGGATCAAAGATAGTTGATGAATTGGGCACTAAAATGTTCACTTGTTCATATTTGTTACATGAAATTACCAATTCTTTTGTTTAAATTGAAATTAATTGATCAAGCATTTCCCTGATTTTGTCCCTGAAGTTTCATAATTGCTTTAAGATATTTTTTCTGCTTTCGGTAAGTGTAGCAATATGAGTGAGTGCAACTGTAAAGCCATGGCAGCTTGTTCTGAGGTGAGGTGATGGGTCTAACATCACATTTAAAATATATATAGCGACTAGTGGTGGGACAATACTCCAATGCATCGGTGGATCGTGATATTTACTTCACGATACAAGCATTGATCACAGTCGCACACTAAGTACAAAATATTGATTCATACCTTAAATGTTTACTTTAATTGGCTGTTACACAAAACACTATTTAGTAGTGAAATTTAGTGGTGAAAAAGTAAATATTTTCATCCATACTTGACACTGCTAACTAGGGCTGGGACGGGTAACTTGGGTACCCGGGTCGGGTGGGTACTGAGTAGGACCCGGGTACCCTACTGCTAACTGTAAATCATCAGTGTGCCAGGTACTTGACTATGAAAAGAATGGCTTAGGGGCCACAGATGGGAGGACATGCAAGTATCATGATACGTATCGGATCGTGAACAAGGTATCATGATACATATCGGATCGTGAACAAGGTATCATGATACATATCGGATCGTGAACAAGGTATCATGATACGTATCAGATCGTGAACAAGGTATCGTGATACGTATCGGATCGTGAACAAGGTATTGTGATACGTATCAGATCGTGAACAAGGTATCATGATACATATCGGATCGTGAACAAGGTATCATGATACGTATCAGATCGTGAACAAGGTATCGTGATACGTATCGGATCGTGAACAAGGTATTGTGATACCTATCGGATCGTGAACAAGGTATCATGATACATATCGGATCGTGAACAAGGTATCGTGTTATGTATCAGATCGTGAACAAGGTATCGTGATACGTATCGGATCGTGAACAAGGTATCGTGTTACGTATCAGATCGTGAACAAGGTATCGTGTTACGTATCAGATCGTGAACAAGGTATTGTGATACGTATCAGATCGTGAACAAGGTATCATGATACGTATCAGATCGTGAACAAGGTATCATGATACGTATCGGATCGTGAACAAGGTATCGTGTTACGTATCAGATCGTGAACAAGGTATTGTGATACGTATCTGATCGTGAACAAGGTATCTTGATATGTATCTGATCGTGAACAAGTTATTGTGTCACGTATCGGATCGCAGAGTTGGTGTATCGTCCAAGCCCTAATAGCGATGTGCCGGCACATGTGTGTGGCTGCTTGTGCTAGTCCAGACTGATGCCCATTTTATAGTACTAGCCCACTGAGATACCATGCCGCAGTTTAACATGAATACCCCACTCAGACACAGTATACTGACTCTGAGCCGACCAGGCAGGATAACAACAAGTACCATCTTTTAACATCTTTGATACGACACAGTTGGGGATTGAACCCCGACCGTTCCCACTCCCGGCAGATACATATCAAGTAAACTATGGTTATAACGAACTCAAGGGAACTATACAGCAAATAGACAGGACTAAAAAGCAGTTTGTTATAATCGTCGATTGGTTAAAAGCGTGTACGTTATAAACGTAGTTTACTGTATATACATGTACAATTTCACTGTTTACAGAATATTTACAGAATATAAATTTGGTGTTAAGAATGACAAATACATTATGTCTTTTGGAAATTATCATTGCTGACTGATACTTTCAGATTACGATACCCCAGGACCAGCGCCGTGACAACGAACAGCTGTACAACAGGATGACAATTGCTGAACTTCAACGGAGAGTCCCTGGGGTAGGCCACATGAGTGAGTGAGTGAGTGAGTGCATCAGTGAGTGAGTGAGTGAGGGAGTGACTGCATCAGTGAGTGAGTGAGTGAGTGCATCAGTGAGTGAGTGCATCAGTGAGTGAGTGCATCAGTGAGTGAGTGAGTGCATCAGTGAGAGAGTGAGTGAGTGAGTGGGTGGGTGGGTCGGTGGGTGAGTGAATGGGTGGGTGGGTGGGTGAGTTGAGTGCATCTGTGAGTTGATGAGTGAGTGAGTGAGCGAGTGAGTGAGTGAGTTGGCATAGCCGGACCCAGAGGAGGGTCCAGGGGGTTAGGTCCTTCCAATTTGAAAACCAAATGTAGTATGCTGTAGGCAGTAGAATGTTCTGAGAGAGGATTTTGATATTTTGGACCCCTCCCTTCTAACAGTCCTGGATCCGCCCCTGGGTTGGGTTGAACGCCACTGTGAACAGTATTGCCAGTTATATCACAGCGTATCAACTTGATGTGGAAGGGAAGTCTGAAGTGATGCAGGTCTTAGACGTCCATTACTGGTGAAGCCTATAGGAATATATCCCAGCTGAGATATATATCATGATAAAAGCCCTTTATGGAACATATTAGGCTTAAAAATATAAAAGATTTAGTTCTCAGACAATGACTTTTGAAAATATAGTTCGGGTGGATTTTTTTTTTTTTTTTGGCTTGTTCAAACTGGTATGTCACCAAATAAACAGTTGTGTACCATCTACCTGGGAAGGCCTCCCTACATAAACAAGCATACAAAGTCCTATTGCCGCCATGACCATAACAGGAGATGTGCAGTAAAGTAGTGCACATGAAAAGGGAAGTAACTGTGTGTTATATTGGATCTCATTGTTTTAAGTATTTGGATTATTTTATTTATTTGAAAATGGAAATAAAAACAAAACGGGCGGCAGAGAACCAAGGCTATTATTTTTTTTAGCCCTAAAGGCCCAAACTTCCATATCCGGGTTCGATTGCCGAATTTACCCCAAATCAGATTCACTCATGCCATACACAAACATATATTGCAAAACTACAGCTGATTAAAAGCCTACCATTAAATTGCTTTCATCATATGTAATGAATTATTTACTGTATTTCAGTTTGACTGGTTAAGGTACTTGTCAGTGATATTTGGTCACGTCAACATCGCTATCGACTCAGTAGAAGAGGTCGTAGTGTACGCCCCTGACTACCTCGAGAACATGGTCAAAATTCTGCACCGATGGGACAAGAGGTGAGTGTACTGTTATGGTGTATAACATATTAGAGTAATCTCCCTTGGCGACCTAGCCGTCAGGACCCCCTGTTTTACCGGATGTACCACCCGTGTATGTATGGCAATAAATACAATACGGAACACAGAATGTTGTTCTCCATTATTTATTCGTCGGAGGCAGTAACAGCCTAGGGCTAGTTCAAGTGCTACAAATCATTCTTAAAGAGTAAGAATATTACAGTGAGGTCAGATATTCTCCTGTGTTAGAAATGAAAGGGTCCTGTCAACTTTCAAAACTCCATGGGGATTCTTGTTCGGACCCCAGGAACCTACCTGGTATCTTATGGTGGCTCCGTGATTTGGTTGATTGCGTAAGTGCCATCACAACCCACCAGTGTGGTTTGATTCAGTGTTCCCGCTGGCTTTTGAAACTGTCAGTCCCCCCCTTATTTTGTCAATCCGAACTTTCAACAAATAAAAAAAACATGTGAAAATTATAATTCTTTTAACAGCATGTTCAATATTTCCTTGCACCAAAAATAGACAAGGGGAAATCCTGATGGTAACAGACAAGCTGACTTAATTAAATAAATATACTTATATGAATTTCACCGATGTTTTGTTCAACAACAAAGATTAATAAGGTACTTTATTTGCCTGTCCACAGGGACTGGCAGTCACATGAATTACAAGTCCAAGCCTAATTTTACCGGTAAAATACTGGTAATTACCGGTAGCGAGAACACTGATTTGATGCACATGACATTGTTTGCTGGATTGTCTTGTCCAGCCATCACATAGCTGGAATTTTGCTGAGCGCAGCACTAAACAACTAACAATTTTCAATTTCTAATACAAGGATTATGACAATGACCCCAAGGTCTTCATGCTTCATTTTAACACTGTTCTGTCAATATAAAGAAGTGTTTAGTTTCATGCTGCTTCAGTTATATCATAGAGAATCTGATGCTCGATGACTTCCTGCAACATTGTTCAGCAACTTCTTTTTCCAGAGAAGAGCTCTTTATATATAGCCATGACATGACTGAAACATTGCCCAGCAATATTCTGAAACATTGCCCAGCAATACCCCGAAACCTTGCCCAGCAATACCCTGAAACATTGCCCAGCAATACCCTGAAACATTGACTGCTAACATATTTCCTCTGGTCCAATGATTGACCTGAACATTTCCCAGCCAATGCTTTCATTTACAACAACAGTGCCAAATACTGACTCTGAGCCGACCAGTCCTTGTTTTAGCCCCTTAATGCCGAGACCCAGACTGGGTAACAACAAGTGCCATCTTTTAACGTCTTTTGGCATCACGGGGCCGGGGATCGAACCAAAACCTTCCGCTCTCCAAGCAGACACTCTACCACTAGACCACGTAGGTGGCCAGATGTTAGTATAGACAATGGTCGTGTTTCAGAGTGATCTTCAACTATCTAGTATAAACAATGGTCGTGTTTCAGAGTGATCTTCAACTATCTGGTATAGACAATGGTCGTGTTTCAGAGTGATCTTCAACTATCTAGTATAGACAATGGTCGTGTTTCAGAGTGATCTTCAACTATCTAGTATAGACAATGGTCGTGTTTCAGAGTGATCTTCAACTATCTAGTATAGACAATGGTCGTGTTTCAGAGTGATCTTCAACTATCTGGTATTGACAATGGTCGTGTTTCAGAGTGATCTTCAACTATCTGGTATAGACAATGGTCGTGTTTCAGAGTGATCTTCAACTATCTGGATTAGACAATGGTCGTGTTTCAGAGTGATCTTCAACTATCTGGATTAGACAATGGTCGTGTTTCAGAGTGATCTTCAACTATCTGGTATAGACAATGGTCGTGTTTCAGAGTGATCTTCAACTATCTGGTATAGACAATGGTCGTGTTTCAGAGTGATCTTCAACTATCTGGTATAGACAATGGTCGTGTTTCAGAGTGATCTTCAACTATCTGGTATAGACAATGGTCGTGTTTCAGAGTGATCTTCAACTATCTGGTATAGACAATGGTCGTGTTTCAGAGTGATCTTCAACTATCTGGTATAGACAATGGTCGTGTTTCAGAGTGATCTTCAACTATCTGGTATAGACAATGGTCGTGTTTCAGAGTGATCTTCAACTATCTAGTATAGACAATGGTCGTGTTTCAGAGTGATCTTCAACTATCTGGTATAGACAATGGTCGTGTTTCAGAGTGATCTTCAACTATCTAGTATAGACAATGGTCGTGTTTCAGAGTGATCTTCAACTATCTGGTATAGACAATGGTCGTGTTTCAGAGTGATCTTCAACTATCTGGTGTGGCGTATCATGATGAATAGGGTCACCAACCTGCCGGACAAGTACAGGAACGTCCGTAAAGATTACTACAAGGTCAGTCAGTCTTCTAGTATCACTCAGCAATCTGACCCATGAAGATCCGGGGTAGAATAGGTCTTCAGTAACCCATGCTTGCCATAAAATGCGACTATGCTTGTCGTAAGAGGCGATTAATGGGATCAGGTGGTCAGGCTCGCTGATTTGGTTGATTCATGTCATCGTATCCCAATTGCGCGGATCGATGCTCATGATGTCAATCCCTGCATTGTCTGGTCCAGACTCAATAAAGAATATGTGTGTACCTTGTTCCTATTCTACATGAGTTGGATGGGCATTCAATAAAAAAATATGTTCTAGGCCAAAAATGTATTGCAATAAACCGATGTATCGCTATATTGTTGCATGCCATCTTCATTGTAAGTTCTCAAAGTACCTTGTTTCAGAAAATTCTTGGTTCAGAGACAGAGAGAGCCAGATGGCGTGACTGTGCCACCTACGTTAACGACAACATGGGCAACGCTGTTGGCAGACTCTTTGTAGAGAAACATTTTGATGAAGATGCCAAAAGTATAGTAAGTGGAAATGAGTGAGTGAGTGAGTGAGTGAGTGAGTGAGTGAGTTGGGTTTAACGCCGCTTTTAACAGTATTCCAGTTATATCACGGCATGTCAGCTTAATGTGGGAGGAAAGCCCAAAGTGATGCAGGTCTCAGACGTTTACCACTTCGGCGAAACCCATGAGCACAGGTATGGTGCTGACAAACCAAGAAGTTTAATTGACTAGTGAAGAAAAGCTTGACTTCATTCTTGTTTTCTTATTGGCAGAAAGGTCTGAATTTTCAGACACTTGCTATAGAATGTATATTGGCTTCAACAATTGTTAAAATACCTGATTACTGACGACTGTGCCTTTCAATCGTTCATATCATTGAGGTAATCTCTGTGTTTCGGAGGGGCGGTCGGGTAGCCTAGTGGTTAAAGCGTTCGCTCTTCACGCCGAAGACCCGGGTTCAATTCCCGACATGGGTACAATATGTGAAGCCCATTTCTGGTGTCCCCCGCCTTGATATTGCTGGAATATTGCTAAAAGCGGCGTAAAACCATACTCACTCACTCACTGTGTTTCGGATTTCCCATCATGCCGTTTCCCATAAGCACTATGAAAGCGCAGTGCATATGCAGACCATTTTTTACACTCCAAATCAATTTGGTTTAATTACTGTAGAATGAATACTGGCTTCAACAATTGTTTGCGTTTATGGTTTATAAATGTAAAAAACAAAGAGCACACTGTAAATCCAATAAAATGAATACATCAACAATAACAACCTCAAAGACTGCTCATTTAATCATAAACACAAAAACACTAAATACAACAACACAAAATTAGTGACTTGGTTTGGAACAATAATGTGACACAATACGCACCCATTCTATTATTAGCCAATCAGGAAACAATCGTACATAAGTGGGTGTGGCTTAAAGTTTTTTCGGTTTATGGAAACATAATGCAAACAAAATTGGTTGGTTAGCTATAGGGCTGGGATGAATCTACTCTAACTACCTGGGTACCTGACCCCCTATTACCCGAACCTACCCGGGTACCCACTGTGGGTCTCAAGACTTCGGGACAAAATGTCAGAATGGGAACTGTCTTACTGCAGCCCAGGCAAAAACTATTTAGATACGTATAACTTCTTTGAGTGGCATTTAGAAGTTGGATTGGTAACTAAGACAAAATTGTTATGGATGAGCAACTTCTTTATTACAATTGGGCGTAGATGTAGATTCTAACACCGTTATTTGCTTGATAACGGTGTTAGAATCTACACCGAAACGTCGCCCAATAGTAATAAAGAAGTTGCTCATCCATAACAATTTTGTCTTAGTTATTTAGATACGTGTATCTGATCATGCATGAACTTAAGTTGTCTGAAGCTATACTCAATGTTATAAAAGTCATACATAAAGAAATGTAAACATTAGCGACATGTAGAGGAACCATGGACATTTAGAGTTATTGTTATAAAACAATAGATCCTGTGACTAACCACAGGTCCGGGTAGTACTGTGGGTACCCGGGTCCTACTCAGGACCCACCTGGTACGAGTGCCCGAGTTACCTGTCCCAGCCCTAGTTAGCTCATCAAATTCTATGGAATTCCCTGCAAGTTTTTCATTACTACATTAGGAGCTCTCGCAAAAAGCGGGGAGCGGGGGATATAGTATTCACGACCGTCCGTACGTCCGTCCGTACGTCCCATCTGTTTGTTGCCGCGATATCTCAAGAACTAAACACTGGATTGTCTTCATATTTGGAACTATGGTGTATATACAGGCGGGGGACATTTCGTCATTTTGTGACAAATACTTGTTCTTTCCTATTTATACAGGCTCTGGAGATGATCCACAACATCCGATACTCCTTCTACCACGTGCTGGAGGAGGCTGATTGGATGGATGAAACGACCCGCGTCGTCGCTCGCGAGAAGGTGAGATAGTGGGCTGAGCAATGGTCTTTTCTCGCCCTCTGTTTGTGTAAAGCAATGTCAGTGTTCAAAATGAATAGGAAGTCCTTAGCTATATCACAATGGTGTGCAAATAATCAAGGCTGGACCAGTGTAACTGCATAATATCCAATCTCATTAAAATCAGATCTTAGTTTTCACTATGCTAAACAAAGATCTGAGTACATCCCATTACGGGTCATGTCAGAACGACCTTTCATCCGACCAATCAAAGCGTCGCTTACCAGATCATGAAAGTGACAGTAGGGATGTGTTTTCTAATCATGCAACCACAAAATATTTAACACTGGGTATTCCAAACGACATTTACAGGTTTATATCCATACAATCTAGGCAATCTATAAGCCATTCCAGAATGTTCTTCTTATCAGTTTTAATTTTTTTAATCGAAAATACGTCAAAATATGTTTCAAAGCGTAGTCGCCAGTTTGAAACTAGTGTCGTAAAGCTCAAGAAAGCTGCCGTCTGATTGGCTAATGTCGATTTCTTGTCAGTCATTTCATTGGTTGGTTCTGTCGTGACCTGTAAATGACATGTAAACAATCAAGTCTGGACCATACAAAGCAGTGATTGATTATTTGAGGAAAAGTCGACACCATCCAGGGTACCAGGACACAGAATCAACCATCCCGCAGTCTAACAACCCCTGATTGAGTCGCATTGTACGACAAGCTTGAGTTGCTGGGGACCTGTTGTCACCTGGAATCCCCTCCTGGTGATACGTACTGGGTACTGGGCGATTATTCTCACCAGGAATTACAGGGAGGGAGTGGCAAATCGAATAGTGAATATGTCATGACATCACAGGGGCTTTACATGGTGTTCTCTTCTCCCTGTGCAGTATTCTTTTGTCTCTATGTCATATTACGCTCCTGACCGGGTTATCAACTATCATTATAGATAAAACACAAAGAGTGACTTTTGATCTAAATCCTTATACTAACACACCCACTATGTTTCTAAATGTTTATATCAACCCCCAAATCCCGAGTCGACCACACAAGCATGATGCAGCCTCAATATTTGAGTATGACACACAATCAGCTCCCCTCAACTTCCTCGGCAAATTATCCCATCTCCCAGGACCATGATAATCATAATTAGCCAATCAGAAGGCAGCTTTCTCGTGCCTTATGGCACTAGTTTTAAACTGGCGACTATGCTTCGAGACAAATTTTGATAAAATCTTGATTAAAATTTTGAAACAGAACAAAAGAACATTGTTGAATGGCTAATAGATGGCCTAGATTGTATGGATTCAGTCGTAAAGTTGTTCGGAATACCCTGTGTTAAATTTTCTGAGGTTGCATGATTAGGAAACACGTTCCGACTGTTACTTTATGATCTGGTAAGCTACGCTCTGATTGGTCGGATGAAAGGTCGTTCTGATGTGACCTGGAATGGGATGTCCTCAGATCTTTGTTTAGCGATAGTGAGAACTAAGATCTGATTTTAATGAGATTATACAACTTTCTGTTACAGGCCGATGCTATTGCGGAGAAGATTGGCTACCCAGAGTTCATCCTGAACGACACAGCACTGGACCTGGAATATGTGGATGTAAGAGTCATTAATCACGGTTTTAGTAGACACAAATATTGCATCCTATATATGAAATAAATGATAAGTGGGAGGTGATAATCGTACATTAAAACAGCCCCCAATTCCCCCTGCAATGTTATACTGTATGATAAACAACTCTCACTCGTTGTTTACTTCTTATATGAGATATCAACATAATATACAGCCTCTTTATGATAAAATGTACAAATCTCCAGAACGTCATGATAGAACAATGTTTTATCATGAAATAAACCACACTTTGTTCTTCATTGTTCTTTTCGATTTATCGCGTATCTTTCTTATATATACACAGAATAATTGCGAAAAGACACAAATAATATACTTGACAAGTCTTTTAGGAAAAATGGCAAAGGGTATATCTGTTTGTCCATGTATGATTTAAAAAAAAAAAAAATTCAATTAAATTTCCACATGAGTGTGTCTGAGTCAGACAAACCAGTCATTGATAGCAAGAGGTACAATGGTAATATCGACCAGCTCCAACATTGTTACCACTTGATCCCCAGTATGCTCCTGAGACAACCACACTGACTGCATTCCATGAGTGAGTGAGTGAGTGAGTGAGTGAGTTTTGTTTGAGACCGCTTTTAGCAATATTCCAGCAATATAATGGCGGGGGACACAAGAAATGGGCTTCACACATTGTACCCATGTCGGGATTCGAACCTGGGTCTTCGGCGTGACGAGCGAAGGCTTTAACTACCCGACCGCTCCGAGTGAGTGAGTGAGTGAGTGAGTGAGATAAGACAAGACATTATTATCCCAAGTGAAATTCATATTGCACAGTTGATTAACACAAAAATATGAAAAAAATATAACAACAAAGTTTGAACCCAGGCCTTTGGCCTGACGAGCAAACGCTTTAATCATTAGACTACTCTACCACCCCATATTTCAGGAGTGGCATAACAAAGACAGTTACAAAGTACCAGTAAAATGTTATGCTGAAAAAATAATCTTACAGTTTGTAAAAGGTATGTCCTTACCTTTGGTCTGTTTCAGGTGGAGTTTTACAAAGATCGTTACTTTGAGAATGTGATGGCCAACATCAAGAGCAGAGCACTCACCAACATAAAAAAACTCAGAGAACCAGTAGACAAGTCCCAGTAAGAACACGTCATATGTGTCATTTGAAGCTGTTGTCAAGTCTAGTGTAATGACATCACTAGTGGTCTGAGAAAACAAATGGTCTGATGACATTCGTCACCACTCGCCCCTTTCCGTAACCTGCAAGAAGACTCGTCCCCCTATTGATGAATGTTATGTGCGAAAATACGACAAACCAATCAGAATGCGTGCATGATTTCAAGTTCTTCGTCAAAGAATCCCTCAGAAATAATTTTTGATTTTACATATGTCTTGCATCTAAAAATATACCAAAGACACAGTTTCATGTGTTCAATCATACTGTATAATTCCGCATGTCCTGATGTGCTTTAAATTGCATCTGAAATATATATAATATATGGGGAAATATATGTTAACCATTAGGCAACGAGTTGACAATTGTTTTAGGTATGCCCGTTTGCTCTAAGATGGAACCCAGTCGCAAAAATGGCCATGAGAGGGGCACGAGTCGTTGGTCACGAATGGGTCTGATGACTGTAAAACAATGTCCATGACCTTGACCTTATACATAGGTCACTCACAATTGACCCTAGGACGACAGACCACATTCCATTGACCTACAGTAAATGTTTTTTAAATTATTAGCTAAACTTGAACTTTGATCAATGTCTCAAAGAAATATCCAGGGCTATGAAGATATACATCGGATATCCAGGAGATATACAAGATTTTATTTCCATCAGATGTCCAAGAACTGTGTGGATTCAAAAACAAAGTACACCAGCATCAGTGGCCATTAAATTCTGAAAACAATCTTAAAGTATACAATTGTCATTGACAGGAGGCTTAGTAGGACTTAAACATTTCTGGTAACTACGTGTGCAAGTTAACATTTTGCACACACTTTAGCCTTCCTCCATCTTGTTGATGTTTTATTGTCTCTGATACTGAAGAGTGACTCCCTTCCTCCATCTTGTTGATGTTTTATTGTCTCTGATACTGAAGAGTGACTCCCTTCCTCCATCTTGTTGATGATTTAATGTCTCTAATACTGAAGAGTGACACCCTTCCTCCATCTTGTTGATGTTTTAATGTCTCTAATACTGAAGAGTGACTCCCTTCCTCCATCTTGTTGATGTTTTAATGTCTCTAATACTGAAGAGTGATTCTGTTCCTTTATCAGATGGTCAACAACTCCAGTTGTAGTGAACGCTTTCTACAGTTCAACGAAAAATCAAATCAGTGAGTTTCTTTAATATTCTTAGTCAAGACAGAATCTTATTTCCAAATTACACAATGCAGCACCTCTATTTTACAGGGGGGAAAAAGACAGTGACCCCTGAAACCCACAAATAACTCAGTTTCGGATGTTTTGGCCTGATGTTGCTGATAAATGACTCGTTGTGGTCATATTGCTAAGTGTGGTGTAGCAGGACGTGGAGTCATCCCCCAGATGACATCCTTCTCTTGTCAGCTTGGTAACCTCTTTGGTCATGTGGACAAGGTGTCCGACCTCTGATCAGAAGGTCTGTGGTTCGAATCCCATCACGGGACTCGGAAATTTTAAGGCCACTACATTGGCGCCCAACGTGGGGCTGAGCACGGTCATATTAAATTTGAGCAAACTATGCCTCAGTACCCTACTATGCGGCCCGGGACGTGCCTTCCGTTGACGAGGGAGTATGTAGCAGGGCGTTGAGTCATCCCACAGATGATATTCTTACCTTGTCAGCTTGCTGACGGGGTTAACCTCTTTGGTCATGTGGACAAGGCGTCCGACCTCTGATCAGAAGGTCTGTGGTTCGAATCCCATCACAGGACTCGGAACTTTTATGGCCGCTACATTGGCATTAACCAATAATAAAAATCTTTCACTGAGACAAAGGAGATAATTTAAATAAGGGTCATGTTCTTCTTGCAGTGATTCCCGCTGGCATACTCCAACCACCATTCTACAGCAAAGGATACCCGAAGTGAGTGTGTTTTAATGTCTCTAATACTGAAGAGTGATTCTGTTCCTTTATCAGATGGTCAACAACTCCAGTTGTACTCCAGTACCTTTCATCCCTTAGGAGATCACTGTAATACTGTTGCATCTCAATGCTGGCTGATAGGTTGGTTGGTTAACGCCGCACTCAGCAATATTCCAGCTATATGACGGCGGTCTGTAAATAATCGAGTCTGGACCAGACAATCCAGTGATTGATATCATGAGCATTGATCCACGCAATTGGGATCGATGACATGCATCAACCAAGTCAGCGAGCCTGACCACCCGATCCCGTAAGTCGCCTTTTACGACAAGCATAGTCACCTGTAAAGGCAACATGGGTTGCTGAAGACCTATTCTATCCCGGAATCTTCACGGGTCAGCTGATAACTGTTATTAAACGTTCTCATGTAAGTGGAAGACTTGTTTTTTCATCAGATCATTACCTGCACTAGAAATCAACAATGTCCTGTTTTCAATCACATTGTTTGCATACATCATCATTGCTACAGTGCAACATTCAATAAACAGCTGTGCAAAAGAATTGATGGTGGCTTAAAATGAAATAAATAAGAAATGGTTATTCGATGGTGATGTATTTGATACGGGTATCATAGTTGTGTTTGGGGCCTTAAGTTTGCAGTGTTTCGGTGACTGTTTTCAGCCCAATAAAGTTTTTAAAACACTTGTAATTTTTTTTTCAAATCAAATTTTCAAGTGTTTGCTTTCATTTGGAAGGTTTTGAGGTTCTGAACATCAAACTACCGTTATAGTACTGACCATCTTCCCGAGGCAAGAGAGTTAACTGACTTTAAAAGTCCAGTTTCCACCCATGCCGAACTTGGCTTGAATTACTGGGCTCGATCGTAGCGCCACCAGTGGCTATTGCTGGTTATGTCCCTTCTAAGCCTCTCCTATGGACCAATCAGATTCCACCTCTCGTATCACATCGATCGATAATCAAGATCTATATTGTGATAAAACGGGTCTCACATCGCGAAATGCATCAAATCATGTGAGCACCTTCATTAAAAACATGAATAGATTTGGAAAATATCTGCTGACATCGAGTTGGCGGTGCACATGCTTTGTAAATCCTGCAATCAACCGAGAACTGTACGACAGTTTACGAACCGGATTGCCATTTCAGTGTGCGATTTTTATTGGACTATGCATAGACTCGCTAGTCCAGCCAAAATGTAACTCCATAATACCAGCCTGGTTCGGCAAGGGTGGAAACTGGACTTGTATAGTCAGTTGATTCTCTTGCCTCAGGAAGATGAGTACTGACATGGTAAACATATGACTGGACAACTGGAGCATCCATAACATTAGGTCACAATATTTTACACAATAGTTCATTTTTCATATTTATCCAACACACAGAAGAGAATCATGAAAAGTCAAAACAGGTTAATTGTAAGAGAGAACTAGCACTATATATGGGCCAAAATATTGCCATTTAAGAACGATCAAACTATGGGTTGTAATATTTTATAGCTTTCCCCCTTGTTGTTTCTAGTTCTATTTATAACCAACAGTTGGGTAATGACCAGTGAAATATTTGACCAAATGTAATTAATATAATGTTTTATGTACATTTAGCTACGGTTATAACAAACTCAAAGGACTAATTCATTTTTGTTCATTATAACCGTAACTCGTTATGACTAAGTATACAGCAAATGGTCGGGACTAAAAAAAAGTTCATTATATATGTCAGTTTGTTATAAGCATCTTCGTCATAAACGCAGTTTACTGTACACGTTTTTGTGATGATGAATATACTACTCAACATTTGCTAGGGGTAATGAGACATTTCATACTCATTCGTCACCACTCGCCCCTTTCCGTAACCTGCAAGATGACTCGTCCCCCATTCTTCACCACTCGCCCCTTTCCGTAACCTGCAAGATGACTCATCCCCCTCATTCGTCACCACTCACCCCTTTCCGTAACCTGCAAGATGACTCGTCCCCCATTCGTCACCACTCGCCCCTTTCCGTAACCTGCAAGATGACTCGTCCCCCTCATTCGTCACCACTCGCCCCTTTCCGTAACCTGCAAGATGACTCGTCCCCCCCATCGATAAATGTTATGTGCGAAAATACGACAAACCAATCAGAATGCACGTATGATTTCAAGTTTTCGTCAAAGAATCCCTCAGAAATAATGTTTGATTTTACATATCTGAATCTGAAATATATATAATACAAGGGGAAATAATATGTGAACCATTATGCAACGAGTTGACAATTGTTTTAGGTATGCCCGTTTGCGCTAAGACGGAACCCGGTCGCAAAAATGGCCATGAGAGGGGCTATTAGGCTTGTCCCGGAATAACACGAGTTGGTCACGGCTTGTCCCGGAATAACACGAGTTGGTCACGAATGATTTCATACTGTTAAGAAAGTCAAATAAAAAACCCCTTTAGAAATGTGTTGTGTATTTAACATGAAGCAGGGAATGTGTCACTTCCATGGCGACTGGTAAAACTCTTTGTAAGATAACGTCTTCAAGAAATCGTTCACAATCAGTCTCCACCTTGACTATCAGACCATCCCTGTCCACGTTTGAGAAGTATAGTATGGCACTGACCTCCATTACACTTAACTAGAGGGCTGTGGGGGTGGTCTAGTGGTTAAAGTGTTCGCTCATCACAACACAGACCTCGGTTCGATTCCCCACATGGGTACAATGTGTCAAAAACGTTTCTTGTGTCCCAATCGCGATATTGCTGGAATATTTCTAAAAGCGGTGGAGAACCATACTCACTCACTCTTATATTAAAATATTATTTTACTTATTGTGAGTGGTTTCTCTGCAGGTCTCTGAACTATGGCGGCATTGGCATGGTCATCGGACACGAGATTACCCACGGCTTTGATGACAGAGGTAAGATCACTTTAACCAATGGTACATCTTGTCACTGGCTGACACTGAAAAATATGACAGGAAGTTCTCATTAAAACAGACCGCCTCCGTGGTCTAGTGGTAGAGCGTCCGCCCGGAGAGCAGAAGGTCCGGGGTTTGATCCCCGACCGCGTCATACCAAAAGACGTTGAAAGATTGTACTTGTTGTTACCCTGTCTGGCGCTCGGCATTGAGGGGCTAAAACAAGGACTGGTTGGCTCGGAGTCAGTATACTGTGTCTGAGTGGGGTATTCATGTTAAACTGCGGCATGGTATCTCAGTGTGCTAGCACTATAAATCGGCATCAGTCCGGACTAGTACAAGCAGCCACACAAACACACACACGTACATGTATGTTGCTATATAAGTTCAATAATCTTGGACGCGACGTTAAACCCCATTTCAGCTCACCTCACCTCTCATTAAAATAATGAAGTATTGTGTCTTTTCTAAAGACCAAGGATGTGAATCGTCAATATGTGTGGTTTAATGTGGTTTTAACAAAAGGTTAAATACCCTTTACTGTCTCTATGTACCCTAAACTGTAGAATATGGCAGTAGGGATATTAGGCATACAACTTCATTCCTGTAATCAGAACTTCCAATTCCCTGGGGTTGTGTCTTTTAGGTTAGTTAGATAGGCATAAGACGAATGCTGAAGTACGGCCCATTAAAACAACCCTGAACTTTTGAACTTTTGTTCCACGGAGTAACTGATGTGTTACTGAGGTTACTGATGTTTCACTGATATTTTACAGATGTGTTACTGATGTTTTACTAAAGTTTTTACTGATGTTACTGATGTTTTACTAAAGTTTTACTGTGCTACTGATGTTTTACTGATATTATACTGATGGTTACAGATGTTTATTGAGGTGACAGATGTTTTACTGAGGTTACTGATATTTAACTGATGTTTTACTAAAGTTTTACTTATATTACTAAAGTTTTACTGATATTACTGATGTTACACTAAAGTTTTACTGATGTTTTACTAAAGTTTTACTGATGTCTTACTGAGTTTACTGATGTTTTACTAAAGTTTTACTGAGGTTACTGATGTTTTACTTATATTTAATTATGTGTTACTGATGTTTCACTGATTGTTGGACATGTGCAGGTCGTCAGTTCGACAAGGATGGCAACTTAATCCAATGGTGGGACGATCATGTGATCGAGAAGTTCAAAGAGCGTGCTCAGTGTATCATCAAACAGTATGGAAACTTCACTGTACCAGAAGTCAATATGAAGGTATTTAGGACCTGTCGGAACAATGTTCCTCACAGTCTTAATCTGAAATTCTGCATTCATTTTACCTTGATGATTCACAAAACCTGTACATTTCAAACATATACAGTAAAATATGTTCATAACAAACACACTTATAACAACTGACGGATATTACAAACTTAATTTTGGGACCCGGCCGTTTGGTGTATAGATGCTGAATATATGCTTATAACGAACTACGGTTAGAACGAACTAAAACTAGTGGTCCATTTGAGTTCGTTATAGCCGTAGTTTACTGTATATTAGATGAGAGACAAGACAAAAAAAATCCCCTGCCAATATTTCAAATAACATTTTCGACATGACGAAAAAATAGTGAACATACCATTTTATTTACATTATACATGCGACAATAGCCGAAGTTGAATGGAAATGAGTTACAGCTTCCTCCAGATTTCATAGCTTAGGCGTTCGTCAGGCCCTTGACCTTTGCCCTTACTACAGGTTTGATTTTTTCAACCAAATTGGGGTGAGTGAGTGAGGATTTATCCTGCTTTTAGCAATATTCCAGCTATATCTCATTATATCCTTAGGTAGCAGCTAACACTGATTTCTAGAATCACATTTTTTAAAAATGGGTGGCTCTTAGAATCTGGCACCAAGTCAAAGACAACACTCTGAGATTGTTTCAACTGAGGAGGCGGTATGAACTTTTACTACATGTGTAGTATCTGTATATCTGCAGCAGGGTCAATGCATGAGATGTGGAGGTAGGCTTACTCTTCATTAGTGAGTGAGTGAGTTGGGTTTAACGCCGCTTTTAACAGTATTCCAGTTATATCGCGGCGTGTCAGCTTAATGTGGGAGGAAAGCCCGAAGTGATGCAGGTCTTCGACGTTTACCACTTCGGTGAAACCCACGAGCACGGGTATGGTGTTGACAAACCTAGAAACATAATCGGGGCGAACCGGGATTCGAACCCACAATCATAGGTTTCTGGCATGCCCAAGGGACGCAACTCTGCACAGCGAATCACGGCGCCTTAGACGACTGGGCCACCCGTGCCCCCTACTCTTCATTTGTTGGGGCAGTGGGGTAGTCTGGTGCTCAGAGGGTTGTTCTTCAAGGCGAAGGTTCGATTCCCACATTGGTACAATTTGTGAAGGCCATTTCTAGACTGCCCCCAGGGTTATTGCTGGAGTACTGATTAATAGCATAAAAGTCAAATCACTCTTTGGATCAATAAGCTCTGAGGGAAAGGAATTTCGGAGTACAGTTAACTGTGTTTATAATGAACACACTTATAACGAACCGACGTATATAACAAACTTATTTTGGGTCCAGGACATTTGCTGTATATATGCATATAACAAACTACGGTTATAACAAAGTAAAATTAGTGGTCCTTTTGAGTATGTTATAACATTGTTTGATTGATTGAGTGAGTTAGTATGATTTTACGCCGCTTTTAGCAATATTCCAGCAATATCACGGCGGGGGACACCAGAAATGGGCTTCACACATTGTACCCATGTCGGGAATCGAACCCGGGTCTTCGGCGTGACGAGCTAACGCTTTAACCACTAGGCTACCCGACCGCCCCTTTTTCAACCAAAATCTCAGAGTTGTATTTTAACCTACAGGTCGTCACTGTGCCAGAGTATTCCAGTGACGTATGGTCAGTTTTTGTTTGTTTGTTTATTGTTTACCACAGCACTTTTTCAGCTATATGAGAGAGTTCTATAATAATCGATTCCGGACCAGATAATCCAGTGAGTGACAAAATGAGCATCGATCTACGCAGTTGACATGCATCAACCAAGTCAGCAAGCCTGACCACTTGATCCTGTTAGTCGCCTCTTACGACATGCATGGATTGCTGAAGACCTATTGCGACCCAGATCTACACAGGGCTCATCAGTTCTTACCTGGCTCGATGCTCTACTCCACAGGTAAATGGTGTGCAGACTCAGGGGGAGAACATTGCAGACAACGGAGGACTGAAGGAAGCCTACACAGTGAGTAGAGCATTTCTAGGCCCCATACTATGTATGACACCCATTTATGGCAACCATTTTATGACATCCATTTTATGTCACCCATTAATGGTCCCCATTTATGGCAACCGTTTATGACACCTATTTATGTCACCCATTTATGACACCCATTTATGACACCCATTTTATGACACCCATTTATGACACCCGTTTATGACACCCATTTATGGCATCCATTTATGACACCCATTTTATGGCACCCATTTTATGGCACCCATCAATGACACCCATCAATGACACCCATCTATGACACCCATTTTATGACACCCATTTTATGGCACCCATCAATGACACCCATCAATGACACCCATTTATGACACCTATTTATGTCACCCATTTATGACACCCATTTATGACACCCATTTTATGACACCCATTTATGACACCCATTTATGACACCCATTTTATGACACCCATTTATGACACCCGTTTATGACACCCATTTATGGCATCCATTTATGACACCCATTTATGACACCCATTTTATGACACCCATTTAATGGCACCCATTTTATGGCACCCATTTTATGACACCCATCAATGACACCCATCAATGACACCCATTTATGACACCCATTTTATGACACCCATTTTATGACACCCATTTATGGTCCCCATTTATGGCAACCGTTTATGACACCTATTTATGTCACCCATTTATGACACCCATTTATGACACCCATTTTATGACACCCATTTATGACACCCATTTATGACACCCATTTTATGACACCCATTTATGACACCCGTTTATGACACCCATTTATGACACCCGTTTATGACACCCATTTTATGACACCCATTTTATGACACCCATTTTATGGCACCCATCAATGACACCCATCAATGACACCCATTTTATGACACCCATTTTATGGCACCCATCAATGACACCCATCAATTACAACCATCAATGACACCCATTTATGACACCTAGATATGGCACCTATTTATGGCACCCATTTATGGCACCCACTTATGGCACCCATTTTATTGCACCCATTTATGACACCCATTTAGGGCACCCATTTATGGTGCCCACTGCTGTTGCTAAAAGCAGCAAAAAATACTACTCACACATTCACTCACTCTAACATTCGACTGGTCATGATATGAGATTTTAGAGGCATTAAAGCCCAACTCACTCACTAACTCTTCAGGACTCAGTTCCACAAAGCAATCGTAGCGCTTCAACTGTCCTAAGCCTATGTTAAAGTATGGGAGTTCCCCTTAGCTCTACCATTGCTTTGTGGAAAGGGGCCCTGCAGTTGAAGAGTGAGTGAGTGAGTATGGTTTTACGCCGCTTTTAGCAATATTCCAGCAATATCACGGCGGGGGACACCAGAAATGGGCTTCACACAATGTACCCATGTCGGGAATCGAACCCGGGTCTTCGGCGTCACAAGCGAACGCTTTAACCACTAGGCTACCCGACCGCCCCTGTAGTTGAAGAGTGCATGAGTGAGTTACTGGATTGTTTAACCCCTAGGAAATACCCACAACAATATTATGGCGCCACTTTCTTCTTTCAGAACATTTCAGTCAGGTTTAATCATTTTAGTCAGAAAGGTATGGTATCAGAGGAAAAGATTTGATTTTACTAAGATAGATGCAAACCGTAGAGTGAGTGAGTGCGTGATACCAGTATTTTAGTTATATCTTGACTGTCGACTTATTGTCGGAGTAATTCCCCGAGTGACGCGGGTTGTACACTTTTATCACTCACTCACGGCCAGGCTCAGATAGATAATAATGTTTGTCATTTATCTCTTTTTTGACTAATTAATTGCAAAAAGTATCTGTAAAACATGAAATAAATGTCTAAAAGCATTTTGTTATTTTCTTAGTATTGAAATGTTTTGTCCATGGTGACAACCAAACAATGCTTTAATTTTGTAACATGGAATTTTGTTTGTTTGCTGGTTGTTTAACGCCACACTCAGCAATATTCCAGCTCTATGATGTAAATAATTGACCAGACAATCCAGTGATTGACATCATGAGCATTGATCTATGGGATACAATAACAGGCATGAACCAAGTCAGCAAGCCTGACCACCCAATCCCATTATTCGCCTCTTATGACAAGCATTGTCGCCTTTTACAGCAAGTATAGGTTACTGAAGACCTATTCTACCCCGGATCTTCAGCCGTTGCCTGGCCATGATAGTACAATAGAATGTCTATGGTAACTATCCCACAATCCTTTACTTCAGGCGTACAGGAAGTGGGCAGTGGCCATGATATGAGAATAGAATGTCTATGGTAACTATCCCACAATCCTTTACTTCAGGCGTACAGGAAGTGGGCAGTGGCCATGATATGACAATAGAATGTCTATGGTAACTATCCCACAATCCTTTACTTCAGGCGTACAGGAAGTGGGCAGTGGCCATGATATGAGAATAGAATGTCTATGGTAACTATCCCACAATCCTTTACTTCAGGCGTACAGGAAGTGGGCAGTGGCCATGATATGACAATAGAATGTCTATGGTAACTATCCCACAATCCTTTACTTCAGGCGTACAGGAAGTGGGCAGTGGCCATGATATGAGAATAGAATGTCTATGGTAACTATCCCACAATCCTTTACTTCAGGCGTATAGGAAGTGGGCAGTGGCCATGATATCACAATAGAATGTCTATGGTAACTATCCCACAATGCTTTACTTCAGGCTTACAGGAAGTGGGCAGTGGCCCAGCCGAAAGAGGAGAAGAGGCTGCCGGGGCTGGCCCACCTGGACCACTTCCAGCTCTTCTTCCTCAACTTTGCTCAGGTGAGTCACACGGGGGATGAAGTGGGTCGATAACGTCCCTGTAATGTAGTGCGGTACACAGGTGAGTCACACGGGGGATGAAGAGGGTCCATAACGTCCCTGTAATGTAGTGCGGTACACAGGTGAGTCACTCGGAGGATGAAGTGGGTCAATAACGTCCCTGTTATGTAGTGCGGTACACAGGTGAGTCACTTGGAGGATGAAGTGGGTCAATAACGTCCCTGTTATGTAGTGCAGTACACAGGTGAGTCACTCGGAGGATGAAGTGAGTCAATAACGTCCCTGTAATGTAGTGCGGTACACAGGTGAGTCACTCGGAGGATGAAGTGGGTCGATAACGTCCCTGTAATGTAGTGCGGTACACAGGTGAGTCACTCGGAGGATGAAGTGGGTCGATAACGTCCCTGTAATGTAGTGCGGTACACAGGTGAGTCACTCGGAGGATGAAGTGGGTCAATAACGTCCCTGTTATGTAGTGCGGTACACAGGTGAGTCACTCGGAGGATGAAGTGGGTCAATAACGTCCCTGTTATGTAGTGCGGTACACAGGTGTGTCACTCGGAGGATGAAGTGGGTCAATAACGTCCCTGTTATGTAGTGCGGTACACAGGTGAGTCACTCGGAGGCTGAAGTGGGTCAATAATGTCCCTGTAATGTAGTGCGGTACACAGGTGAGTCACTCGGAGGATGAAGTGGGTCGATAACGTCCCTGTAATGTAGTGCGGTACACAGGTGAGTCACTCGGAGGATGAAGTGGGTCGATAACGTCCCTGTAATGTAGTGCGGTACACAGGTGAGTCACTCGGAGGATGAAGTGGGTCGATAACGTCCCTGTAATGTAGTGCGGTACACAGGTGAGTCACTCGGAGGATGAAGTGGGTCAATAACGTCCCTGTTATGTAGTGCGGTACACAGTTGAGTCACTCGGAGGATGAAGTGGGTCAATAACGTCCCTGTAATGTAGTGCGGTACACAGGTGTGTCACTCGGAGAATGAAGTGGGTTGATATTGTCTCAAGAACATAGTATGGTACACAGGTGATGTCTTACATGAGAAATGTGTAGACAGGTGACCTGATGGGAAATAGACAGGTGATCTGATGGGAAATACACAGGTGATCTGATGGGAAATACACAGGTGACCTGATGGGAAATAGGCACAGGCGATCTGATGGGAAATAGGCACAGGTGATCTGATCGAAAATACACAGGTGTGAATTGGCCTTCAGGTGAAATTATGAGAAATGGGTATTAGAGTATTTAGTTAAAAATGGCAAGAAAAAAGTCCTTGGGTGATAATTCTCCCTGCTTCAGAGCTGACTGTACTCTGCCTCGTCCTGTTCCAGGTTTGGTGTGGCTCTATGAGGCCTGAGGCCGCCATCAACAGGATACGTACTGGAGTGCACAGTCCAGGCAGGTTTAGGTGAGTCGTCACATTCCATGTTTGGTTTGTTTAATGCCAGATTCTATAATATTCCAGCTACCTAACAGATATTCAACAATATTCTAGCCACTCCACGGACATTCAACAATATTCCAGGTACATGACGGACATTCAACAATATTCTAGCCACATCATGGACATTCAACAATATTCTAGCCACTCGACGAACATTCAACAATATTCCAGGTACATGACGGACATTCAACAATATTCTAGCCACATCATGGACATTCAACAATATTCTAGCTGCATGACAGACTTTCAACAATATTCTCGCCACACGACGGACATTGAACAATATTCAAGCTGCATGACAGACATTCAACAATATTCTCGCCACACGACGGACATTCAACAATATTCAAGCTGCATGACAGACTTTCAACAATATTCTCACCACACGACGGACATTCAACAATATTCAAGCTGCATGACAGACATTCAACAATATTCAAGCTGCATGACAGACATTCAACAATATTCAAGCTGCATGACGGACATTCAACAATATTCAAGCTGCATGACAGACATTCAACAATATTCAAGCTGCATGACAGACATTCATCAATATTCAAGCTTCATGACAGACATTCAACAATATTCCAGCTGCATGACAGACATTCAACAATATTCAAGCTGCATGACAGACATACAACAATATTCAAGCTGCATGACAGACATTCAACAATATTCCAGCTACATGACGGTCATTCAACAATATTCAAGCTGCATGACAGACATTCAACAATATTCCAGCTGCATGACAGACATTCAACAATATTCAAGCTGCATGACAGACATTCAACAATATTCCAGGTACAGGACGGACATTCAACAATATTCAAGCTGCATGACAGACATTCAACAATATTCCAGGTACAGGACGGACATTCAACAATATTCAAGTTGCATGACAGACATTCAACAATATTCCAGCTGCATGACAGACATTCAACAATATTCCAGCTGCATGACAGACATTCAACAATATTCAAGCTGCATGACAGACATTCAACAATATTCAAGCTGCATGACAGACATTCAACAATATTCAAGCTGCATGACAGACATTCAACAATATTCAAGCTGCATGACAGACATTCAACAATATTCAAGCTGCATGACAGACATACAACAATATTCAAGCTGCATGACAGACATTCAACAATATTCAAGCTACATGACGGTCATTCAACAATATTCAAGCTGCATGACAGACATTCAACAATATTCCAGCTGCATGACAGACATTCAACAATATTCCAGCTGCATGACAGACATACAACAATATTCAAGCTGCATGACAGACATTCAACAATATTCCAGCTACATGACGGTCATTCAACAATATTCAAGCTGCATGACAGACATTCAACAATATTCAAGCTGCATGAGTGAGTGAGTGGGTATGGTTTTACGCCGCTTTTAGAAATATTCCAGCAATATCACGGCGGGGGACACCAGAAATGGGCTTCACACATTGTACCCATGTCGGGAATCGAACCCGGGTCTTCGGCGTGAGGAGCGAACGCTTTAACCACTAGGCTACCCGACCGCCCCTCAAGCTGCATGACAGACATTCAACAATATTCTAGTTACATGTCTCTTTGACTGTCAGGAAGAGAATATATGGATGTCAACTTCTTTATTATGAGGAACACAACGTTTCGGAGTAGGCATATACTCCGAAACGTTGTGTTCCTCAAAATAAAGAAATTGACATTCATATATTCTCTTCCTCATGTGTATCACTTCTAAATGCCTTTCAAAGACCATCTCTGACTGTCCCCTACATTTATTCCATGAATGAAATGTTTCTAAATCAAACATTTATTTCCTACAGGGTCATAGGGACATTACAGAATTCAAACAGTTTCACAGAAGCCTTCGGCTGCCCTTTGAACTCTAAAATGAATCCGCCTCACAAGTGCACCGTTTGGTGATTCAAGATGGCCGACATTGACATCTGCCAGAGAAAGATTTCCAGAGATTATTCAGTACCCAGACCTGTTGGACAGCTGAACATGGAGGCGAGAAGTCTCAGCAATGGTTATGTGCACTTCAGCACCAAAAGAAGGAAGAATTGGGATCTGAATTTCACAGACAGGGCATGATCGGATGCTTGACGGGCAACTCCCGTTGGAATCTCAGAGACTGTGATATGTACAGCGGTGGTAGACTAGCCTGGCATGCCAGTTGTACAAGGTGACCAGTAGCGATGGGTGGATTCGGCTAATGACTACAGCTCCAGTATAATATCTGTATCTTCATTTTTGTTATTCATGTTTGGTTTACTTTCTTACATGTTATATAAAATAAACCTTAATACACTTGGAGAGAACATCACAAATAAGGACAAATAACATCATTAATTGTGCACAGTGTCAAACTCAATCTAAATCAGTAACAGTGTAATTTCCATCTTGGCTGAAGTAATATTTCAGACAATGCTGCCATATTTGTATCAAATCAGGAAAATATTTATATATCCCTGTGTTATGGGTTTTCGGATGTTTTAGAAACGTTCGTAGTTTTCTCGCTAATCGCATGAACAACTGTAAAATATCTTACTCACTTATAAAGGCGACATTATCATAAAAACAGGCCATCATCTGAGTATTTACAATGTCTGTGTGACGACACACTCCTAGTTAAAGCACGAATAATCGCGATAATCACGGCCATCCGAAAATGTATGATGTCCGAAAACAAATGATCCGACAATATATACAAGTGGCAAGAAAATACTGCATTTTTGGTATAAAAAATGCTTCCAGCTATCATGAACAGAGATTCAGTGACTACACCTTTACAAAAAAAAATGTTTTCAAAATAACATTTGTTCAAAATGTCTGACGACCTGAAATTTCGACACTCACTACATGAGAAGATGCTGTATGTTTTCACAGCTATTGACACTAATAGTTTCATATCACATAACGTTGTTGACTTTTTAGTAACCATAGCTACCTCCATTCTTGTTTAATCACATTATCATCGCTTACATCAAGAATCGGAGGTTTCTCATATCTGATCTTACAATAATAATTGTAACATATCTCTATTTACAGTTATAGTGTGGAACTTTATCACTGCAATAAATGCTGACATGGACAAATAGTATTTCTTCTCCATTGATATAATATGTGGCATTACAAATATAAAAACAGTTTCTCAACTCAAGACCAAGTTGCCTTTTAGTCCCACAGACAAGACATACATAATTTGGACAATGTCAGTGCAAGAATAATTAAAATGCTATCAAGGATACTCTGAGGAAAATAATTCCCGTATTCGACGTGATACCCCACCCTAATAAGCACCCACAGCGATATTTGCTAATATATTGGCTAGTGAACCTTTCCAATTGATCAATGTACACAAGACTTATCTATTAGTGTATAATACGCACTCGTGTGTTATATGCAGCCTTAATTATGGGCAATTAAATTCGGGAAAGATATATCTGTCGTATATAAACATTTCAGGCTGTCAGCATAAACCATAAAATTTACGATCTTTCAACTGTTTTTTCAACAAAATAATATTCTAATAAGAGCCCCCAAATATTGGCCACTAAAATCTGTAAAACAAACAATGAAATTGGTCTGGCCTGAAAAGCCATAAACAAGTTAATTAAGTAAATTAGTTACACAATTAACCCTTCTGACGCACTGAACATATTAAGTCTCATGCATAGATGAACACCTTAAATTGGTGTAAGTTTGGATGTGAACACAGAGGTGGACACCTTGTCCACAGGGCCAATTGCAAGGATATCAAGAACTCATCCACACCCGGAAACACACAAATATGGCACTTAAAACATACCCACATAGAAAATGACGAGAAACATTGTTTTAACTTTTCAGGGCCTTAGAGTTGCTGTTATTTTTTAGTCCATTGTTTTCACCACAAATTAGTCTTTTTAGTATTGAGCACAATATAATGAGAATGGGGATTTGAGCTGTTATCAAATGGCCCTGGCAATGGAGCGCATGTCTTATGATATCCACATTGGTCCTTTTTGAACGGCGGCATACATTCGGCTGTTCGTATTACTGTCAGCGTCCGTCAGTGGCACACTGAAATGTCATATCAACTTTTCATATTTCTCCTACCACTGTGAGGACTTTGTTGTGACAAATGCATAAGGAATTATACTGTTTTGGTGGAAAAACGGAACTTCTGTTTGCAGGGAGAATGTACGAGCTTACCTTAAACAGCTTACAAATTACCTGGTATGTACAGATTTACAAAAATTTACAGATTTACAGATTTACAAAATCAATCAGTTAAAAATATGTTCCGGAAACTATTTTGATATACATTTTCATACACATTTTGATAATAAAATCAATTATTAACATGATTAATAAAGTCCCATTAAAATCGCTTTTACAATTTTACAAGGACAGCCTAAAGGTGATGTCATAGGATGCATTGATATTTGTTAACAAAATGGGTACTGTTATTGGAAGGCATTTAGTACAAGATTTACGGTATATGTTTTCCCATGACAGCTGTATGAAGCTCTTGTTTTATTATTGTTGAGTCCTGAGGCTGTTATATAAGGCCAAAAGAACAATGTCTGTGTTTCATGTAGCATGGCCCACCCGATGGGATGGTAGAAGTTTTATTAAGTATTCAGAGCTCCAGATAAGCTTTTGGTGTTGTGGGTATTTTACCCATGCATTTTAAAATCATTGGGTATCAGTAATTCTATCTGCGTATTCAAATTTCTGTTACCCACTAGTTTTTACACATGTGGGTATTTAAGGGAAATATTTAAAAACACTATTCATCCAGTCCCTGCCAACTGGTGTCGTGTGGGTTTGAGAGCTTTATAGGACTCAAAAATACCACGATACTTCCACACGAAAGTGTGATGGCAAATGATCATGATGTGACTGTCATCGTGGAGTTTGGCAAGGTTGACGGAATGCCCGTTTATAATTTCAAAATAAGTTGCTGATTTGCTAATCGAATACGCAGGGTTACTTCACAATATTTTTATGATACGCACAAATATTATTTTTGTAGCGTATCTGTAATGTTCGTTGCGTATTTGATACGCTTGGATTATATTTTACTGCGTATTTCTGCATTTCTGATGCGTATTTCACGCAGATACGCAGCTTATCTGGAGCTCTGGTATTTTTCAATACTGTTTAACACAGATGGCTTGTTTAGAACCGTCATTTGCAACGTCTCGAAGTTGTATGTCTACCACATCTACAGCATGGGTAATATGCGGAAACATCCCTTTTTTCGCAATATTATAATGGGTTTCTTGACGGCAAGTTAACCAATGGCTCGGTCGGGTTACCTGAAACACAACTTGTTTTGAAGGCCTATGATGTACATGGCAGTTGAAACACGTAATATGCATTTGGTACTTTTATGGAGTGCAATATTTTTTTAACATTACTGTTTTGGAGTAGTGTCACTGTTTTTATCCTGTTGATGTGGTGATGTACATGTTTGCACAGTCATTCATTGTTCTGAAAACACAAATGGTTACCATGACAATTGGAGTATTTTTTAATCATTTGTATATTCTTTTTTCAGGATAGTTCTGTTCTGGTTCATGAAGACATGTTATTGACACTTGATACCCTTAGGCAATGTAACTATGTACCGTATTCGCCACATTAAGTGCAGTGCTTCAATAAGCATCCCCGATCAACTTCTTGACCAATGTGTAAGTAACCCCTGCTGAGACTGAAAAGGGCGGTCGGGTAGCCTAGTGGTTAAAGCGTTCGCTCGTCACGCCGAAGACCCGGGTTCGATTCCCGACATGGGTACAATGTGTGAAGCCCATTTCTGGTGTCCCCCGCCGTGATATTGCTGGAATAATGCTAAAAGCGGCGTAAAATCAAACTCACTAAGACTGAAAATTTACCTGACAATCTGTCCATCTGTATTTGAGATTTGTTTACAGAAAACACCAGCATAGAAGTGACAGTCATGTAACTATCATCAAAAAGTGTTAGTTTAATTGATTTTTTAACAAAGTTGGAACACCACAGTTCGGTGTCACTTTTCTAAGCACTCAGAGCCTTTATTATGGTGAATACTGTAATTGATATTGTGACCATTTAAAATGGAAATCAATATACTGATCAGAGGAAATGCATTTTGAAAATAACAATAACTGTTAACACCATCAATGACAAGGCCTGTGGACATACTTAAGACAAGAGTGAATGAGTGCGTTCTGATGGTAGTTTAACCATATATACTATTAAACGTCAGTGCCCGAGAACAACCCGTCTTGAAACAGATTCCATTGGGCGTAAAAGGCAAAATAGCAGTCAATATTAGGGATGGGTATTGGAGGCGTCAAGTGTATCACAATATTTTGCGATGCACAAGGCTGTATTGCGATACGTATCACGATATATTGTATAATTCTAAATATTGAATTCAGCAGCACTCTGATACATTAAGGTGTGAACTGAGGTTCATAAATGGAACAAAACAAGATGCTGGTACACCATGTTTACTCAGTCAATAAATACGCAGCCATCTTGGGGCCCCAGATGCATGTGCCGGGGCAGCGAAGGCATTTGGTAAGTACCGGTGTATAACGTTAAACACATAAAAATCGTTATTTGAAATCACCCGATATATAGAGCAAGAAAAAATGATATTGTGATACATATCGTGAAAAAAATTAACCTCAATTTACCGATACACCGAAAAAAAATGCACACCCTCAGTCAATAACATAGGAATGGACTGAAAATGACTGATGACACCATGGCCTGCCCCCCCCCCCCCCCCCCGTTAGCTCCCGCCATTATCCGGTACACAACTTGCAAAGTTCAGCAATATCTGTGTAGGACTACCAAGGACTTCGGAACTCATGGACATAAACCTCTTATTGCATGAGTGAGTGAGTGAATGGGGTTCCCACCAATTTGTTTCATGGGCGACCAAGCTCCGTGGTCCGGTTTTCTCGCCTTGGTCATTGACCCTGGTACTTGTTTGACAATGTTTCATATCAACAATGTTATTAAGTATAGCATATTTTCTGACATACTGATACAGTGTTTTCATGTTGGTGTGCATATGTATATATATTCATGTAATATGTGTTTGTGATGAATTTTTAACCTTTTCAAATTTTCTAAAACATGATCATGTATAATTTTTACCCCTTAAACATGTATACACGTTTTTACAGATTCTAGAAACTAACTATTCTTTTTCTACGTTGGAAGTATCGAGTATCCATGGTAACCTGGGCTTCAGATTGCAGGCCACAGTAAGACATGTCTTTTATTTAACAAATGCTGCACTGAATTGTCAAAAAAAACTTGATAAAAAAAAAAAAACATTATAAAAAAACTGAATTTCTTTTATTCTGAAATATTTTTTAAAAGATTGAAGATAAATGAAAGAAATTTAGGCTATTTTTTACAGAAATTGATATCAAACAAAAGCAACATCAAAATTCCACAAAAACACCTTTTTCAATCAGATTTCCTTGTTTTTTATTCAGAGAAAGTTATTTTTGCATGGATTTTTTTTCTCCTAAATTACAACTAGAGCATTTTAAACTATCACAATTTTATTATGTCGTGAAAGGGTAATTAAAGCTTGACGATTATAACCTAAAAGATATGGTCAATCGAGTAATGGGACGAGGTGTTGAGGATGTCAAATGTATTCTTGATTTCATGTTATAACTTCTTGACCTGAGGTAATATTTTGCCTGATACTGTAAACAATATTATTTGTACAGAATTGTATAATATGATGTATTGGAAGTTGTCTTTAAAATTTTGATTTTCATTAAATGTAATCTTCAATATTGTTCTACTGTTATTATTTCACAATTTGGAAAAGGACAAGGAGTGTGTTACCATCAGAAACATACAATGAAACTGCCTTATTTCCTCTAATATTTAGGGGGCAGTCAGGTAGCCTAGTGGTTAAAGCGTTCACTCGTCACGCCAAAGACCCGGGTTCAATTCCCAACATGGGTACAATTTGTGAAGCCCATTTCTGGTGTCCCCTGCCGTGATATTGCCGGAATATTGCTGAAAGAGGCGTAAAACCATACTCACTCACTCAATCACTCACTCACTCACTCACCTCTAATATCTATTCTTTGAACAAGCTTCCAAACTCGGAGGGTAATGGAGTCAAAGCCGTACATCAGAGACCTACTTAATATTTCAACTACAGTATTGCATGAGCTACCGTCACTATTAATTGACATACAATAGAATGTTATGTTCTTGATACAGAACTTATTTCAAGGTGCAGAACATGAATATATTAATTTGAAATTGCAACAAAAGCAGTGGTGGAGTGGTCACCAAACTACAATATTGATATCACACATGCAAAGCACCCTTCGCTTATTAGACACTCGTCACTTATTGTGCTGTACGTTTATTGTGACTGCAAGGAAGGGTAACA